TACGCAGACACGGGGAGCACATGCAAATTTCGCACAGAAAGGCCCTATGTCCTGAAGTGAAATCAAACTCCTGAGCTCCTTGTTGTGAAAGACAAGTGCTAACCACAATACCACCATTCCCTGTATGAGGTATTTGCTACCTTTTTAAAAAGTACGCTTTAAACTCTCTTGAACTGAATTCGACTTTTTCTATATTGGTCAGAAATAAACATCTAAAATCAGAATTGCATATTTTGCCTAAATTATGCTTTTAAGATGAAGAGATCCCTTATTTCAGTGTTGCATCACAAGTTACAGACAGTAGGAATGAGGAGCAAACAGCTCAGAATACATAAAGAATAAAATAAACTAAATTCTTTAATAAAAAGAAGCAGTATAAAATCTCTATCTTTAGCATAATAAGGAAAGATCTATAAAATCTCCAACATTAGCATGATGAAGAAGCAAGACTTAAGTACAAAACCCCCTGACTTTAGCATAATAAGAAGCACGTATAAAACCCTGCATATTCTAGTGCAGGTATTTACTGTAGGTAGTTATATGTGAACATCTGTACATGTTTGCAGCGTGAGGGTCTGGGACAAAGTGACTCAGTAAAGTGACAGTAACATACATGGTTCCATACTGCACATTCTGACATTAGTTCAGTTTATTGCACAGGCGAACCGTGCACAACAAATGAGGGCGGGGCGATAGTGTTTGTTAGTCCTCATTGTTCGTTGTACAGTTTGACAGCAGCGGGAAGGAACAAGTCACATGTTGTCCAACAAGAAGTCAGTGCGTTTGAGAAGTAGCCTGAGCAACATCAGCAGTTGTGCCTCCAATAAACTCTAATGTTGTCAGCTCACCCATTTAGAATACCATGTGACCTTTAATACCAAGCTCTATACTGCACTGTAAGACATCGGCTAAAAATAGTCATTCAATTACAGCCTTCTTCTTCATTTTCTACACACTTCATTACAGTAACACCTCCAGCACTATTAGCCGCTGGGGTGCCCTGTAGGTCCAACAGCAGCAGCCTCCCCCTGCTTCCAGAGAGGACATCACTGGGCCAGGGCGGTGTGGTGGTGGTGGTGGTGGTGATGGGTGATGCTGCCAGAGCCCTGGGTCCTTGCACTTTTAATTTCACGCTTTGTTAATGTCCTACTTGCTATAGCTTGTCCGATGCCCTCCACAGCCCATATGCGTCTGAAAATGCCCCCTGCACTTCTGAAGAGTTTCTTGGAGTGTTATACTTACATTTGTTGTTGTTGTTTGGAGAGAGTTATGTCACATTTTTTGACATTTATTAACATTTATGGACAGTTGTCATCTGCCCCTTATTGACCAATACCTCTATGTGTTCTCTATCATTGCATTTCTTGTGTTTGAACTGGTTTAGTCTTTGATCTGTGGTGAGTGGTCAATGCAAGACCATTTTTCTTATTCTCAAAAATAAAATCACTGGGTTTTGATCTGAATATCCGCTGATTAAAGCTTATGTACGTATCCCACAGCAGCTGTCCAAAGATACCACAACGATATAACTCAGTGCAGAAGCCGTGTAAGGTGAAGGGACCAAGGTTATCAATTGGGATCTGATGGACTGATGCACATCGACTGCACTGTAAGTTAGATCTGAATGTGTTTGACCTTTCTTGTCACATTCTACTGCATAATTATGCCTCGGAGCAAGGAAAAGGGGTCACGCACAATTACACAGAACACATTTCAGCTGACACTGCTCCACAGGTTGTATTTGTCATGAGAAAAGTCAATGCAGATATATGAGAGTGCAAAATTGGTCGGACCAATGCATTTCATCGAGAAGGAGTAGGTTCAATTCCATCCGGTCTCTGCTGACTGATTTTGTTAATGTTTTCTGGGATGGATATGGTTTCCTTGAAATTAGGGATTATTGATATTTTGTGACAAATACGCCATGTTGTAGAGACTGTAAAATGAATGTTCCATTTCAGAACATGCACGACACATGATATGAATGAGGCAGCTTAAGATCAAAGTCCAATAGAGAGAAGACGTTTTTAACAACAACCGCAAAACATTTAACACATTTTCTTCCCATAAGAAAAAAGTTATAATAACAAATAACTCATAACACTTTTGGACATTTCATGTCCTATGTGGACTTTGATTAAATGTATATTCACAACCTGATTATGGATTCTTGATATTTGATTTTAAATTAAACTAGTAACTAAGTTTATCGGTATGAAATACACCTGTCCACAACCACAAACAGTCACACTTCAAACTTCACTATGCCCAAGACCAAAGAGCTGTCAAAGAACATCAGATAAAAGTAGACCAGGCTGGGAAGACTGAATCTGCAATGGTAAGCAGCTTGGTGTGAAGAAATCAACTGTGGGAGCAATTATTGGAAAATGGAAAACATACAAGACCAGTGGAAATCTTCCTCAATCTGGGGCTCCACGCTGGGTGCTGTTCTGAAATAAATATCTTGAATGATGGATTGATGTCTATTGTCGTCTAAGACATTGATGGTGATTGTAAAACATGTGCAAATGTCCAAACCAAAAAGTGAAATATTATAAGGCTTAAAGTACTCATGACAATGACAGAACAAAACTCTGGACACATGTTGGAATTACTCATCTGTACTTATTGCCTGAATAATAATTATTCACATGTGGACTATGTAACTTCATAGTGAAAAGGGTTAGCAGCAACACCCTTTGCAAATCTACATACACAGAAAAAGTTAAACTACGCGCTTGGCCTAAACAATGTTGTGATGTCATCAAAATCATCTCTTTGGTATAGTTTTTGTAATTAATTTAATATGTCTGTCAAAGCTTTATCGTAGTACACCAAAAAATAAAATCTATTGTCAGAATCTCTAAATTCTCCCCCTCTGCAGTGGATGTGTGACTCAGAAGAAAATCAGGTGAAAATAGGTGTTCTCAGTGATTGTCAGCACTTCCAGACCTCCTGCAGTTGTGTTTGTGGCAGTCCCAGTAGCACACATCATATCAGACCCTTAGAGCAGCTGGAACACACTGCGTTTGATGAGAAATACCACATAGACAGAGGGCAGGCAGGGTCAAGATCCAAAAAAACAAAACAAAAAAACGAGGTTGTTCACACTTGCTGGTCTGAATCAATTTGACTGAACCAACTCCGGCTTTACAGATCTGTTTCAAAAGATGTAAACTGACATAAAGGTGCATTTAATGTAAAAAAAAGTTGATATGTTTGCGTATTTGTAGTAACCCAGTGGATGTAAGAGTGGTAATGGCATGGTGCCTTAACTTGTGTGGACTTTGTGGGAGCTGTGCTGGAGAGAAGGATGAAAGCTCTAATGCAGGGCATCCTGGGTAACTAAAGGTGCTGGACACCTGAATTTCTCCAGTGGGGGATCAATAAAGTATTTGTCTATCCATCTAAATTTTGATCAGGGTTGTGTCTACAGTGCTCCAGAATCTATTGTTAGGCAGGTTTTCTGGTGCTGGGGTCCGTCAGCAAAGAAAACCATCCAAACCGTTGATCCAACAGCATCCCAGAGGCCACTGTGATGGGCAGTAAAGGCACCATGCTGACCGCTCTACTAGTGTTGTCAGGTCAAATACACAAAAAATGTAAACTTTTTTTTTCGGATTTGCAATAGCCTTTATGTGACTAGTTGACACATGATGACCTGAGTAATTCACAATCCGGGATCACTGTTACAAGTTGATCCTGGACTCTATATATTTACCCTATGCATAACCCTGACCCTAGTCCTAACATTCAGTGAAACATTCATCTTAGGCCAACATCTTTTACATTAATCCTGGTCTGTTAATTACTTGGTGATATCAGATCATCCAGTGGATACGTGTTCAGTTGTTTGGTGGTGTTAAATCCACAAATAAAGCATTTTTGTGAACCAGCAAAGGTGCAGTTAAAGTGAACCAGGCCAACAACACAAAGTCATGGTTCTGTCCCTGGCACTCTTCACTCCATTGTTATGCTTTTCTATCAAATTTTGGTATAAAAGGGAAAATCATGAACAAAAGGTGATGCTCAAGTACAGTATAACCCTCCCTTTCCCTATTATTTTATTCTGTATTCTACACAAATACATCACAAGGTCTAAAAAACAAAACGTACAGTACAAGCATCTGAAAATGTGTTAAACAATACACACTATCCTATTTCTTCTGGGCCAGGGGTATTAATGGGACTTGTCCAGGGGCTGAAAACATGGATTAAAAAACTATTTTATGGTTTTCAGGCTGTTCTGAGTTTAACATTACAGTAAATACAACATGTCCATTTGTATGTTGACAGAGCTGGAGTTGGCTGAATGAGAAAGGTTTACTGTCTCACTAGATACATTAGCGATTGATACAGAATATTGAGACACAATAAAAAAATAATTCCAGTATACGCAATAAAGCCAAATTCTGGACTCCAGAGGTTCTGACCTACACAACGAGATATAACAAGTCCACATTGATGTAGCTGAAGTTAGCTGGATGACACTGTGAACTTGTGTTTATTAACTCATTGGCTTCTCTGGGTTAGCGAGGCACAGGGCCACAGAAAATGGCACAAAGGACCTTAGTTTGGTCATGCCTGTTCTAGTCTCTGTACACATTGTAGATTTACAAATTACAGATTTATCCTCCTCCAAGTGTTCATATTTTTCTACCTGTTTCTTCCCTTTGCTTCTTCTATATACTGATCCTGGGTGGAGCCTTATCACTAAAACCAGGTACAATTGCTCCCCTCTATCCGGGGCCAGGACTGACTTTCAAAAAAAGATTGAAAGATCTCTATGGGATAAATAAAAGTAAACAAATACATAAATAATCTCAATCAAAATCCAATGACACATTTTAGATAATAAATTAAAAGATGTCATTTGGTCACCGATCCTCGTTCCCTGCCATGCATGTAAACCAAGTTTGTGGTGTGTCTTTCATGTATTCGCCCCAGCATCCCCTCCTCTCACTATCCATCCATTTGCTAAAGTCGGGATCATCATTCTGTCACCTGCTCTTTCTGCCTGAGTTGCCACTTGTCCCTGAAAAGGCCAGCGTCAGCACAAACTTGTTGAGCCTCACTTTTCTCGTTGAGTCAGCTCGAATGCCTGAGTGGAAAAGGTGAAACAAAAGGCCCACATTGGCTCACAATAACAACAGTTTGTCCAAGACTTCCACCTTCCACCTGCATACCACAGTCTGATGCCCAAGCAGTTTTACAATCAGTATATCGACTGGGGAGAGTAGTTTAGAACCAGGGGTAACTTTACGGCACATTAGTATTGTGCCTTGGAAAAAACGTTCTCACTGAGAGGACTGATGCTCTGCAAAAGATGATGAAAAATAAGTCAAAAATAGCTAAAATTTGGCTAAATGTATCTTGATTAGAGCACAATTTGACTACCTTAAAACAAGATTTGCCAATGGGACAGGTAAAATGATCTTGTTTTAAAAAGATACAAGAAATGTCTCCCTTGAAATAACTAAGTAAGTAAGTAATCTTTATTTATATACCGCCTTTCACAGACCAGAGTCACAAAGTGGTTCATCCATCCATCCATTTTCTACCCTTTAATCCATTTCTGGGTCAGGGGGGTGGCAATCAGAGATGCCACCCAAGTTTAATAGCACCAGCCCCTCACTGACCCTCTGCAGGTGGTGAGTCCACAGGAGGACGGCTGCTCTCTGAGTGTGAGCATAGCCTTGATCTTTCAGTAGGGGCTTTGGGCAAAGTGGGGTTAAGTGTCTTGCCCAAGGACACAACGACAGCAGTCATCAGTGGGAGTCGGTGGAGAAGGTGTAGAGGTGGGAATTGAACCCACGACCTTCAGGCCTGAAGGCCAATGCTCTACCAACTGAGCTACTGTCGCCCAAAGTGGTAACCACAAGTGTAAACCACAAAGTGGTATACAATTGTTATTATTTTTGGGCACTTGTCCTCTCACTCCACACAGAGATGGGAGCAGGGTCGCCGAACAGGAGAAATAAGATTAAATGGCCTTGTCCCATTGGCAAATGTTGTTGTAAGACTCAAAAAAAAAACTCAAGCAACCTATTCGATTGTGCAGAGATTCACAGAAATGCATTGTGTCTACATAGGTTTCCTCCAGGCGCTCCGATTACTCCTTCCAGTAAAACCATGTACAATAGGTGTGGATGGCGGGTTGTTGGAGGATCTGTGATTTCTGTGTGTCCGCCAACTCTGCTCCGATCACTGCAGGTGGAGTGAAAATGGTCATCGGTTTGTTTTTATTTTGTATCATGAATATCAAAATCTGTGTATACAGCACAGCAAGCAAAAATGAAGTGATCACAAAGTAATTTGTGGCCATACTTGTATGCAAAAGCTAGGTCCTAAAAGGCCAGACCTTTGAAGCTAAGCAGGGCAGGGTATGGTTAGTGCTATGTTGGGAAACCTCTGGGAAAACCAGGTGCCACAGCCTTTTTGTCCCAGTATGGCTGCCGTACTTGACGCTGTCCGTGTACTGGTCCAGTGCCTCTTGGTCACGTACTGGGTGAAGGCGGGTTCATGTAGCTGCAGCTCGCCGAGAACAGACAGCAGCAGCTGGCAGAGTTCAGGACGCTCACCAAACATTGGTTTCCTGTAAAGTGCCAAACTGTTGTTGTGTCCTTAGGCAAGACACTTGTCCCACATTGCCTAGAATGAGTCTGGTGTGTGTGTGAATGGTTGGTGGTGGTCGGAGGGGCCGATGGCACATACTGGTTGCCTCGCTTTTGTCAGTGTGCCCCAGGGCAGTTGTGGCTACAGTGGTAGTTTATCACCACTGTGTATGGAGTGAAATAATAACGACATGTGAGGCGTCTTTGAGTGTCCCGAAAAGCGCGATATAAAACCGATGCATTATTGATAGTTGTTTATTATTGAAAACACTTTTTTTCACTAATTATTTCAGCTCCAAAAATAATGTTGCTTGGTCAATTTCTCTTAAAACACTAGTGTTTATTAATAAAATATTAGACATCTTGCCATTATCCACTATGGAAGACTAGTCAGTGAGCATATTTGTACTTGAGATGGGATTCAATAAATCAACACTTCTTGTATGTTAATTTTTAGAAAAGATAACATAATACTAAATCTCAGTGGAGATATGCACATGTCAAACTTGGCATAAATATGATCATTCATGGTGTGCAAAAAGACAGGAAAAGTGAAAACTACATTTCAAATGTGCAAATGATTTATTACTGCATGTTTATGGCATGTTCATTTATTCCTACCAGTGTTTCTACATGCCACCCTGCTTTGACAGCCTTTATATGATGTAGATTCATTACATATAAGTGACAGATGCAAAGGCTTTGCTATAATTTTTATGATTAAGTCTTACAGACCACTTTCAAAATACACTCATTTCTGAGATGTATTCAATCCATCAATCAACATACATCATAAAAAAAACAAAAAAACACTTAAAATCCCATAGGGCATTACAACACACAATAGGATCACAAGACATATTAAAACCATTACAAAAAAATTATACATGGGATTATTATCATAAATTGCCACAGTGCACTAAAAAGAGTAAAGATAAAATCCTTCAGTTGTATACACAGCCAAACAGAACTGTTTTTAACATAGATTTGAAAATTGCCTGTTGCAGATTTTAGCTGCATGAATCTGAAACGCAAACCTTACCTGCAAGCTGGATTCTCGCGGTATTTGTGAGTTCACAAACACACGAGAATACATCTTGCACCGCTCCCGCTGACTCTTTTTGAGTAGAACATCTGGAACATCTTCTACCCAATCATGGGCCAGTTTTCAAGCTTAGCGCGATATCCGGGTTTGATGAAAGCAACCAGTGCCGAGCCGGGGCGTAACAAACATGGCCACCCAGCAGGATGGATGAAATGTTGCATTGGATGCGTAGCTGAGGCTATCAAGTTAGTTTTCTTTTTTGAAACATGTTGTGTTGGGTTGACGAGGTTGGCTTTACTATGTTGCAAATTTGAGTTACAAAAACTGCAAAAGTCAATAAAAGACATGATGACAAGGCAGTCATATTCCAAATAAAACTAGTTTAGTTCAGCGCAACTTCTCCAGGCGCACGCCAATGACGACATATTCATTTGTTACTGTGATTGGCTTGAGTCAAACCTTGGTAGGCGGGTAAACAGCGTCACTTCGCCCAATCAGCTTGAAGTATTCTGCTGGCTGCCCCTCCTTTGCCCGAAAGGATTCTCCTGCAGAAGTCCCTGACTGATATTGTGGAGAACTCATTTGAGTCCTTCACAATCATCGATCTGGCTTTTGCCAGGGTACTGAAACGCTGCCCCCCCATGTTTAGTCCTGACTCCGGGCAACAGCTGGAGGCCAGTCGTTGTGCTCCTCAGAGTCGGAGTTGGTTCATAAGGCACTAACATGTCACTTATGTACCTTGGTGCAAGGCCATGGAGAGACTTGTGCACAAGCAGCACTGCTTATAGAAATTATTAATTACTGTATGTTTATGACTCGTTCATTCACACCTACCAGCTTTCACTACCTGCCACCCTGCTTTGACAAACAACTAAAAACCTTGCAAAGTACGCAGATACCCACATGTAAAAATTAGCAAGACCCTTTGTGGTTAATTACAGGTGTCTCTTCCTGAACTTACGCCTCTGTTTTCTGTTGGTAAGCAGCTAACATGCCATTCATTGACCAGGTAAACCGAATTCACAGAGGAAAAATAACAAGCGGCTTCTCGATGATGCAATTAGAACGCAATTGGAAGTGAAATGACGGCAAAAGCATTCCTCCCTCTGTCTCGTATTCTGTGGAGAAACAAGAGCTCACATTAGCATGTCAAAGATGTGTCAGCTCCAATCCGGGCCTGCCAATGCTCATGTGCAGGCAGCGCGAGTAATTGAATCAACAATGTGCAATATGTCTTATATAAGCTCATCAGGTTAAATGCACGAACTGTTGCTGTGTATGCCAATGTTTGCTGACAAGGATTTGTTTGGAGATGTGTGGAAAAAAAGAGTGTGTGAGTCAAGGGTTGAAAGAAAAAAGGAGTACAAGAGAATGCCAGAGATGGAGTTTTGGTCTGGCATTTCACGTTAAAGTCTTTTGTTGTTTGCTTTTAATCTGTCATTCAAGAGTTCCCCTCGCAAACTGGTCCTTTCGAGTTGGCAGAGGTGGGTACAGAAATTATGTTTTTGGCTCATGTGAGAATAACTCTCACATAGCTCTACAAAACGAGAAAAAATGAATGACCCAAAGAAATACACAAGTACGTGTAAAAAGTTGGAGAAACTTTAGGATCCCTCTCTATATTACACATTGAGTTCAATAAATACATTATTTAAGTTAATACATTATTTTTTAAAGGAGGGCAAACTTCCAGGGTACCTAAGAAGTTTGCTAAATGTGAGTTAAGTAAGTAAGCAAGTAAGTAATCTTTATTTATTCAGTGCATTTCACAGACCAGAGTTACAAAGCGCTTTACAATTGAGAGAGAGAGGAGAAAAATCCGAGGCACTCTTGACAATAAAATACAAATCCTTATTGAACATATTGTGTTTTTTCCTCCACTGAGCCTTATAAGCTCCTGATAAAGTTAGACCCACTGCAGCACTCTTGTCCCTTGACATTTGTTAGCACTTTACAATTGTTGTGGGCATTTGTCTCTCACTCCACATAGAGCTGGGAGCGGGGTCACCAGACCTACTGTATATGATTTTAGTTGTAGGGGAAACCGGAGCATCCAGAGGAAACCTAGCAGGCACGGGGAAAACATGCAAACTCCACACAGAAAGGGCTGGAGGTGGAATTGAACCCAGAACCTTCTTGCTGTGAGGCACAAGCGCTATCCACTGTGTCACCGTCCTGGTGGTTAGGCTTTAGCTTCTGTTTTTCCAACACCAGAACCATGGTTTTACAAAAAGACTTCCAATTAGAAACCCAGGTGTCATTGGACAAGTTCAAGAACATTGCAAAAAAAGACTTTTGCATGTTTTTTCTTCAGGAATTAAAATGTGTTTTCATTTTAGTATAATTCTCTGTATTCTGTTGACTGTGTTGGCTGTTACCTTGGCCAGAAAAAAAGAGATTCTGAATCTTAATGGTAATGTAGCAATATGTAAGAATTTCCTGTCAAGTCATCATTAAATGGCCCTAATCTGTCAAAACCATGATCTTTTCTAATGCTTTGATAACTGGTAATAGTATAGTTCAGCCGAGATATTTGGATTTCAAAATTAGCTATACAGCCCCTAAATCTTGTTAATGTTTTAATTTTGATGTCCCCGCCCTCCACCGTTTTACCAATTAGAAAGTCTATGATCCGGGTTGCCAGAACTCACCATGGTAAATATAATCTCACTGGTAAAGTAACATGTGGCCGCAGTCCTAAAAAAGTGTTATTATGATTCTCAAATCCTTAATGACAAAACAAGGACTAAAACAAGGATTTCTGTTGGGACTTTTGTGAAAAAGGTGCTTGTTATAGATATGTTATTGACAAAACTCCTGCCTATTTAGATATTAGGGTCCCAGCTGGATTTGTCTGCATATCTGGCAACCTGAGTCAGGGAGAATGGGAGCGGTTGCAGCACAACTTTTTCCCATCAAAGAAGTACAGACTTCTTTGATGGAAAAGAAGTCTGTCTGATCACTTTATCATCCACAATGAACATGTGTGCTTATGTATTCAGTCATTATTCAATGGTATACTTAAAATCCTCACTGTTCTCAGGTCAAATATTTATTTGCGATTTAAAATGCAATTAATTGTGATTAATTAATTACAAAACCTCTAATTAAATAGATTAATTTCTTTAATTGAGTCCCAGCCCTAGTTACAGCACTAAATTGAACGCAGAACCATCTTAAAAGTGTGAGGCATAAATACATAACACCATCATGCTGGTTACTGCTGCATGTTATTTATTTATTTTGACATATGGAGAAATAATCAAGGAGTCAAGAGTTCAGTTCAGATTTTTTTTTTTTTAGCTCAGTGTATACAATGAAATAAACAATGTTTGTTTGAGTGTGAAATAGAGCTCAAAAGGAGTTGGCAGAAGTAAAAGAAGCAATACTTATAAACGCCTACCCCTTCATTGCATAGCAAATTAAATGTATGTTCTAAGTCAGAGTAATACATGTACACATTTCATCAGTAGCCGAGAGTAATACATGTATTTTTATATTATAACTTAAAAACAGCTTCTCTGGAGGATAGTTATTTTCTGGTGCAATTATGTTTACTTTTTTATTTTTTATGTTGGAGACAGAGCAGAAGTAAGATGTTTGGCACCGTAGAAAGGAGCAAAAAAAAAAATATAATAACAAAATATATAATAACAAATATCAGGTGGCATTGATGACGTGTATAACACTTGTTATTGTTATCATTTACTACTATAATTATGTTATGAATTGTTAGATTTAGGATATTTTTTGTTAATTTAGATGGGGGAAGAACCTGTATAAGCCATTATGGCTTTTTTTTTCTTCCCCCAGCACGTATATTTTCTTGTTCTATCATAATACAAAATGATTTTAATATATGCGAACAAAAAAAATCAAATCAAATCAAACATTAACAGAAAACTTACACAAATAATAGAATAACAGAA